CTAACAAGAGGGTGATTTTTCTGTGCTCCAATTTCAATTTATTAGCAGAACAAGAAATTACCCCCTTCTTAAAATCTTGATCGTTTTATTAAAAAGTGTCTTTTTGGTGACTAATTATTATTTCTGTTGTCCAATTTCAATTTTTTTGCAATTATTAATTATTATTATTATTGATTTGTATCAACTGCATCACAAATTTAAGTTATCTTTCTGGTCTGGTGGTGACTGGTGTGAAGTCTCTGCTAATGTTAATTTTTGCAGTTGTGGACGTACGATATTTCTCACCTTCTTTACCTATTGATTCAGTCCACTATGACTAAGGCTTGTGTTGCTTACCAGTTTAGAGGGTCACAGACAGAGTAACCATGGGACAAGGGTGATGACTGATTAGACAAAGCATGAAGTGGGCTTAACATGTCGGTGGTGAGACCAATAAAATATGTTCAAAGTTGTGAAAAAGTTAAGGTATTCTTTTTCTTGAGTGAATTGAGGGAAGAATTCAAATGCGGATGGAATAGAAAACTGCTTTCCATGACATTTTTGCGTGTCTGCCACATTTGTTGAATAATTAATAGTTTGTTTTGATTAAAGTTTATTAAAATTAAGTTTAAATCGTTAAATATATTTAAAATATGGGTACAAATAAAATTATATTATATATTTTATTAATATATAATTTTTATTAAAAACTACGAGAATTAATTTTACAACTATGAAAAATGAATCTTAAATAATTTTCTGATTAACAATTTAACATAAACCAATATTTTTATTCAATAACATATACCCAAGCTCAAGAAAAAAATTAACTCGAAATTAAACGAGGAACAAAAACTCTAAGGACACTTTTTGAATTAAAAAAAAAGAATATTTTTTATTAAATTAACTATTAAGAAAGTGTATGTATATAGCATGAAAGGAGAGAAAATAATTTTTTTTCTGAAAAAAATCAGTTCTTTTAAAATGAGATAATTCATCATTTGTATACTTTGATAAAAAGAATTACATTTTAAATTGTCATAAATTATTGAATAAAAATTATAATTTTAATTAAAAAAACTTAAAATTTGGTCATTAAAATAATCTCTATATATTAGTGAGATAAGCTTATTCACCAAATAAGTTATATATTAGTTAAAGTAGCTTATAAATACAGTCAATATTAATATTCTTAACTTCTATTTTCTGCTTAGGACTATTTTTCCAATGATTTACTTGCGTGTATTAGATGGTTTTTTTTGGGGTATATTTTTAGGGAACGATGAGTGAATATAATTCTTTTAAAATACTTTAAACTTCCTTTTAATAGTTCAGTGTATTTTTGTATTTTAACTATTTGTGGATATCAATAATGGCTTATTTCCTTTAATTAATTAGCCCACCCCGTGAAAACCTCTTTGTAATTTATTTGATTAATAGCGTGAATCTTGTTATATACACTTCACCTTCACCTTCGAGATAAGCTGACAAGTGTGCCATTTATTTATCACAGAAAAGAAAATCTGACAAAACTTTAATAAGTTTCAGATTAATTTGATATCGATCAAGAACTAAACTTTGCAAAAGTGAATTATGATACTCCTTCAATGAAATGGTAGGATTCTGACTTACGTCCACATGTTCATGACAGTGCAAATTTGTTTGATATGTAAAACTCTTGTCCACAATCATACATATTACTTTTTGTCCATCTTCAGTTTCAAAATAAATATTTATAATTTTATTTATCTATTTATTTAAATATTTACAATAATGTTAATTATGATTATTTAATATTTAAAAATAAATGAAAATATTAATTATATGTTTTTATATTTGTCGTATCTTTAAACTAAACATATAAAAATATTAAAGTAGATGATATCAGACAAAGTGGAGCGTGATCACATGCAGTGATAATCTGATATCCATATGAGTCAGTGCCATAACCACTCGGTATTATCAGCATGATTCATATAATATCAAAACAATTAGATAGGCCGAAGATCCAATCTGTTTTTGACCAGTATTCTGTATTTAGATACTTCTAATCAATTCTTCTCTCTTTGTAACGTTTAGCTCACGTGTCTGAGCCCTCAATTTGGCTAAAAAATTATTATCAGTATGTATTCAAATTGAGTTCCACGTCTTCGATAAATAAACTTGAGAGAAAATACTTCACTCCGAGGCTTGTCTAATTCTCTTTTTGGTTAGTCAATATTTTCTTTGATTCTTTGTTTCTCTTTTAACACTGAACACAAAATGGTGTTTATTTCATTTCTAGTTTTTCATTGCCTTTTGATAAAGATTCAAAATATTGAAAGTCGAAACAAGGGAACTTTGTTTTCTTTCACCAGACTTTGGACTACCATAGATTCGCTAAACACAGATAATAGTAAATTTAGATAATCTTCATAACTATAACTTTTGCTTTAATTGAAAGGTTGGTTTTTGGTAGAAGCAAGGAAAAAGGGAAGAAGTCAGGTAATTTGTCATTATGTCTACCGGAAAAATACAACGATAATTATAGATTTGTATTTTTTAACATAATTTTAAATACAATATTCAATATACTAATATCCTAAAGACACAAATTAACAACATATTTACAAATATTTAGATCATTAGACACATATATGCTGAATTCAAATTATTTATATGCAAGTGTATTATTATTTAAATTTAAAATATTATGTTAGAGAAAATAGATAAATAAAAACGACAATATGTGCGACTATTTTTAGTTTTTACTGTATTCTTAAAATTACCATTGAGGAAGAGATTGGAGAAGAAAAAACAGAGATATCAAGAGAGATGGGGCCAATGTTTCCTGAACGTGTTCTCCAAACGCACATGGGCCTTTATACTGTGCTTTGGGCTTTTCTGCTGAAATTAATGTCTTTGGTATTCAGGTTACCAGCAACAAACGACACGTGAATAGTGTTAACTTTTTGACCGTTAAACTTTTTGAAAGTAGGATTGATTTTCTTGTCATCTAGTATGTTTTCCGTGGATTATATGGAACCTTTTTTATTTTAATAAAACTTAACTGAATTAAAAAAATGTAGTTTTGAACATTGAATAAATTAATAAAAATATTATTTGAAGATAAAGTATTCATAAACTTATCCAATATAATGTTAACTAAAAATCATATATATATATATATATATATATATATATATATATATATATAAAGAAAATCACAAAAATTGAAAAAAAAAACGAAGATCAAAATTAAAAGTACTCACAAATTGATCTAACATAAAGTTAATCGTAAAATAAAAAATTTGAAAATATTAGATCAGATTTTGGATCTATTTTTTAAAATCAATCCAATCTGAAATAACTTATGCGTGCATGTATAATTTAATACATTTAAGTTTAGTTCATTGTTAGTGTAAATTTATACTAGGAACTAATTAGAATATATTATAAATATGGTTTTTATATTAATTATTATAAAAATTAATGATTATTGTTAATATAACAATATATGATTGAATGACAGTGAAAAAAGTTTTATATTGTTGGTGTATTTAAATTAAATTATATTTTAATTTATGAAATTAACTTCTCACTTATACAACAATATGTTTATGAAATTACAGTATTTAATTATTTTTTCATGATTTTTATTTGACAATTATATTAGTTATTAATTTTAGAGATTAATTTTAATGTATTTATAAGTTATTTATTTTATATTATTTTAAATTTATTTTTGTTGTATCATATATTTTCATATAAATTTTATATTTAATATGAAAAAATAATAGAATAGTTTATTTATTATTTTCTAATTAAATAAAAAATAAAATAATCTAATTTAATAAAAATTACTTTTAATTAAATTGAATCGGATTGGATGTAATTTTTGTAAGTCAATCTAAAACGAACAATATAATTTTACGATCGAATCAAAACAATCTTTTACTTAAAAGTCGATCTAATCTAATCCTCAAATACAAACAACCGAAAAATTTCTTGCAATTGCCATTGCCGAATGTGTAGATTCCCATTTGTAATTTTTGAGAAAATAAATTACTAGATATATTAAAATATCCTCAGAAAATTTACTGAACATGTATAAAAAGAAAGAAGGGAAAAAGTATATATATCTTCTGTCAGGGAGATAAGAGAAATGTTGAAAAGAAAAACTTGTACATAGCATTATATAAAATGAAAAACCAAAATTAAAGATTGATATTTCTAGTGACAAAAAAATGTATTTAATATGTGAACAGGCGAAATCCGTGAAACGTAAACAGCCGTTTGGGTCCGTTCAAAAAGTCAATTGGTTTCCACAGACGAAGGCATGTTCTATTATTCAACTCATCTACATCTTGAAATGCAGTGCTTGGAACCGAAGGTGATGTAATTTCAAAACAAATAACATAATACATTAACAACTGCAATTTTAGCCTATTGAAAATTTAAAAAAAATCGCCTAAGCAATTCTATTCATGTACAATTGAGATGAAAAGCAATGCTTCAAATTAGCATAACGCTCCCTCCAACAGAAAATCCTGGTGCATTAAGCATCTTATTCGCATGGATGCCACATTAACAAAACTTTTTGAAATTATGAAGATTCTCACTTCTAAATAGAGACAACACCAACACATTGACATCCTTAACTTGGAAAGGCATCAAGATCAAGGTAAAGTATATATCCAATGAAAGAATATATTAAATATCATTCAAATATTAAATAGAATTTCCACAAGGCGAGAAAGAACCCAGCCACTTCCCATGTACATGACCTAGGTAAATTACACTATTCCGGCAAAACAGCATAGAACGTAAAGAGAATTAAATAAAAGAAAAAAATCGATACCCAATTCAAATCCAATCATCTCCCTGTAATTTGTAACTATTATGTCTAACGAAATTTTAGGATTTTTTTGAGTTGTGTGCATAGTATCCGGATTCTCTCCGGCGGTGGCAAAATTCACATGATCCTCTCCTCTCCGTCTAAGATTTAGAAAGAGTTGAGCTTGTAAGAGAGTTCCGGATTGCTAAGATAAAGAGACTCGAAGGGTTGAATTCGTAAGGGTGAGGCAAACGGGGCATGCCCTGAAATGCATATCGCACTGGGTGCATATGCATAAGTGCCGACACGGCAACACCACCACCGAAGCCATCTTATCCCCACAACCTCTGCATCTAGGACCAAACATAGCCAAGCGCTCCGGGTCAACATACGCTGACTCCGCATCCTCTGCTTGTCTATCTGCATCGCACGATAACATTTTTCCTCTTTCCTCTGCTGCGTTATGCAGTTGCGCCTTTAACGAAGCCGCCGTGGCTTCCTGAGCCTTAACTTTGGCTTGCCAAGCCTGCGCCTCCGCGCTAAGTTGAGCCGCGCGTGCCTCTAACTCCGCGTTCCATCGTTTGGCTTTCTCCACTTCCGCTTCTTTTTCTCTTAGTCTCCGCGCCACAGATTCCTCTGCCGCCGCTAACAGTTCACTGTAATGTCTCTGTCTTTTTTCCGCCAATGCCGTCCGTAATAGTTGGCTCTGCTTTGTTTCCGCCCTTATTTAATTTAAATTATTGATAAAAAAAATATAACATTTATAATCTCTCATAAAAAATTTACCTGGACAAGAAGAAATTGGTCTATTTCACTCAATTGATGCTTGATTTGCAAAGCTAAACTTTCTGACAATGAGTTACATCCATTTTGTTGATGATGCAATTGCTGTAGTTTTTGTTCTTGTTGATGCAATTGTTGTAATTGTAATCTTTGTAGTTGTTCGTCGTCTAATGATAAACGTAGGCCGGTTTGCTGAGTGAGGGGTGGAGAGTGGAACTGAAAAGACAACCTATCACTGGGCACAATCCCAGTTGCTTCTATTTTTCTTTTCCGAGAATTAGTACCTGGTAAAAAATAAATTTGGGAATTTTTCGTATGTTAAATAGTTAACGGACAGACAAAAAAACTTGTAACCGTACCTCTGCTGCTGAATAACATTGGAGTTTGATCTCTGCTGTTGAATAACATTCGAGTTTGATCAAGCTCCGGTTGCGATTGCAGAGAATAATCATGTCCCTTTTTACTATGGTAAATGAATTAGTTAAATAGTGCATAGACATGTACATGCGATAAACAAAGGAGCAGGAGGAGATGAAAACCTGTTTAAAAAAAGCACGTTGTACGGATATTGAGCTTGAACAGCCATTAAGAGAGGAAAAGCACGTTTGTAAGGATAATTTGCGAGAATAGGGAGGGATGAGAGAAGGAAAGGTCGGGAAGAAGGGAAATAATGCAATGATCAGAAAATCATCACAAGAAAAAAAAAAGATGCCAAGACAAGACGGAGTCTTCAATGCTAGAGTGGACCAAAATAAATAAATAAATAAAAATTAAAAATGGTTAGAGAGAGAAAAAACAATGCGTGTTGAGAAAGAGGGCACCAACGCCACCATCACCACCATCATCTTTGTTTTCACCAACTCTTAAAGAAAGAGTAGTAGTAGAGGTGGGGAAGAGGTAGATGCGATTGAAGCGAATCAGTCCAAGAGAGCACACCTTATTCCTCACTTCCTTTCTCTTTTTCTTTGGTTTGCTTCCCTTCTTCGCGTCGAGTTGCCTTATGCCTTTTCTTCACATATAGTGTCGCCTTATTATTGCTTGATACCATCATTATTTAAATACTTTCTCTGATAAATTTTACCATGTTTAGTTTTATTTTTAAACAATCCTCGGTTAAAAGTTAACAATATAATAACGGATATGGGGAATTAAGAGAGAGCGGATTTGCGTGGGTTAGTGTGTGAAATGTGAATGAAACGAGGCGTTGGTGTTGATAAATAGGTGATGTATTGTTGTTGGGGTGTGCAGTTTTCTGCCGCTGGAATTGTTTGTACATGGCCCATGCGTCTCGCGCCAACTTTGCTTTCTTCATAACCTCTTTTTTTCCTTATGATTTTCTTCAAAGTACCGTTAAGATTGTAATTTTTTAGACACTTTATATCTATAAAATTAAAATATGTACTTGAATTTGTTAATGATAAATTAGTGATAACTCCTCGTCCGTGTTTTTTCTATTGGAATAATATATTATAATCACTCATAGGTCACGGCTCTTGTTATTTACCTACGCTAACTAGATAAGCTTTATATCATCGAATAAACCTTTTCTTTTTCTTTGTTATTTCTATCATGACACCTCCTTGGATCTATAAACGAAATATGGTAAAAAAAAATTTGGCAATTCAATTCAATTTAATATAGCATAAACAATATTTTGTAACTGTGTCTCTTGAGCTACTTAGTCATATACGTTTTATTTTTTCACTTGGTTTAGAATGTTTAATCTCCAATACCTGCTTGTCGTCTTGTATTTTTTTTAATGAACTTTTTTCTATGAACAGATGTCAACGTAATCACTGTCTTAGAAATTGATGAACAGATCAAAATATCCCCGATCTAATTGCATTATTGGATGAGTGCTATTCAATTCTCTTTTTTAGCCATTTCTTTTCCTTCTTGGAAAGGATTTCACTTATGACCATTTCAAATAGCCAAAACTAACGTAGCAAAATTAACCCCATCGATAACGCGCAGCAATGAAAGAAGAAATTTTCAAACCTGACATAATTTAGCTGTAACAAAATTGACAATTTAATCTTTTTAGAAAAGCAAAGACTATACTTTGGTTTAAACCAATAAAAAATTGTTTTTTTTTTTATGTGTACACTTTATAAATATATATGACCTTTTCATGCTTCATTTTTTTACGTCATTAATATAAAGTGAGAGATTAATGAGTATTAATAAAAAAATTAACAGAATTTAATCTAAGATAAATGTTAAGAAATAGGTGTGAAAAAAAAATTATCTTAAAGTAACGATGCGAACATAGGCCGTTAACATTTTATATGTTTAAATAAATTATTTCAACACAATCAAAATTAATTTAAAAAAAAAAAACACAAACACAAGCTAAACTTGGAAAAAGAATCTCCATTCTCTTGTGTGTGAAAAATTAAATTCAAAGACCAACAGAATAGATTAATGTTAAACAAGACAACAAACTATAGCAGATATCACGAAAACACTGTTACTCCATCGAGCATCTCGTGAAAAGTATAAATCAAATGAGCAGCAGCAATTGTTAGAGTAATTGCAGATGTTCCCTGAGTAATATTACTAGTTCGGGACTTCTAAGCTTCTATGACAAGGGTATTAGTTTAAGTAAAATATGAAATAATATATAAACAACATTTATAATGTTTACAAAATATTATAAATAAAAGCAAAGATCATAAACAATATTTATAGGAGTAAGTACTTTACATTACGTAAACTTTTCATGCATCTTATAGTTAGAGGTATTAGTTTAAGTAAAAAAAAGTAACTTTAACAAAATCATTCTTAAATAAGAACATTTTGACAAATTTTTCTCACTTTCATTGTGTCATATTGATTTTCTTGCATCATTAAATATTTAATCTATTTTCATAGCTTTTACTTATTTTAAGTATTATTTTCAAATTTTTAATTTAATTTAATTTTAAATTTTCATAGATTATATTAAATTAAAGATATATTTATCTTTTAAATTAATTAAAAGTTAAGATTATTGTATTCTTAAATTATTAATCAATCTCAATTTAAATTTAATTTTAAAATTTTAAATATTGATATACCATATCAATATAGACAAATATGTCATATTTTTAGTAATTTATTTCCATACTTTTCTTCTATGTATTTAATTTACTACAATTTAATATTATTATAATAATAATAATAATAATAATAATAATAATAATAATAATAATAATAATAATAATAGTGTAACATTATCTTTAGTTTATTTCATTTATAAAACTTATTTAATTTAAAAAATTATGTATGCGTGGCTTGCTAGCTTAAGTATAAAATAAAATAATAATCTTTCGGTGCTAAAAGCTTACATCCTTTACTTCCAACTTTGTAATCGTCGTTCTGAAAGAGAAGTTTCTTGGCATTTATCTATCATTTTAAAATTTTAAGAAAGCATTAATGACTATTTTCTCAATTAAATTCTTATACAAAAAGGAAACGAATAATAATATATAGATATTAGAATAATAAGTAATAGAGACAAGTGACGTATTAAAATATTAAAAAAAAACGAAAAAAAATTAATTGAATTCTTAAGCAGTAAATAAAAAAATAAAAACACTATCTCTTTTGGTTGATATTAAAAAATGAAATATATCATATCTTAAATAAAAAATAAATGAATTAAAGAGAAAATTTAAAACACAACATCATATTTTTTATTTAAGAAACTAGTGTTGTCGTTTAATGTCCATATCAATTGTGTGGGATATCAAAGTAAAAATATCAAATTTGATATTGATTAAAAAATATAAATATTTAATAAAAATTTAAAAAGTACTATTTAATTTATATTTTTCTCAAAAACTATATTTTAATACATTATGTCATTTGTTTTTTCAGACCACACATTATGTCAGTTTAAATATATCTTTTATTTTCATATTAATAAAATATATAAGTTATTATAATTTTAATATATATTTATTTAATTTTTTTAAAATATTAAATATTGTCACCATATTAAAAAATTGAAAACTAAATTTGAATTAAATATTAATTTTTATTTTAAAATTTCCCTAATTTTTCCTTAGTTTTAATAATATTATATCTTTAATATAATAAAGTATTCACTGTTAATAATACAAATAATCCTTTTTATTTATAGAAAAATAAATATAAAAATTATCATACAATATATCTTTACTTTTTTTATTTTAAGATGATTTAATTTAATAATGCATGAAAAAGACGCTAATGTATTTAAAAAAAATTGAACTTTTCATTTAATGTTTTCTTTTGTTAAATTCTTAATATATTTTTTTTCCTATTAAACGGGGTCTAAAAGGTCCAAAAAACACAACACAGTTAGACTAACATCCTAGGCCAAGAGACTTGAAGAGCATCAAGCCTTAGAAGAGACTCAAGAGAAATGAGAGCTTTGTCAAAAGAATAAAAAGGCACCCTAACTTCATCACCTAATTTATCCATCCAATCAACACATTGATTAGCTTCCCTAAAAATAGTTAAATATAACAAAATGAATTTTTCTAAGGAGGTCCCTAATTTCCTAAATAATAGAATACAAATAATGATCACTATTCTGAACATTAACAACTAAAGATAGGACATCCTTACAATCACAATCAATCCAAAGAACATAAACATGATTAGAAATAGCCAGCTTAAGGCCCCAAACAAGACCCAAAGTTCAGTTTCTAAGAGAATACAAAAATAGAGAGACTTATAGAAATCAATTATGAATTCGCCTCTTTGATTATAGATAAGTCACCCATAACTAACTTTTTCCAAAGCTTGAAAGACAGAACCATCACTATTTAATTTGAACTGCTTTTGTGGAGGAGGGAAGGTATCTAATTTGACGCTGAGGCTGTAACAGCTATAGTGTCCCTGCCACAAGAATATAGATACTCAAACTCAAAAACAATCTTATTCAGCAAACTGTCATTGTTCAAAGGAGAATTTTGAAATATAACACAATTCCTATTCTTCCAAAGATTGACAGTAACAACAGCAAACAACAAATTTTAAAAAGGATACAAAGCAAAATTCTGAGTAGTCAAATTAAAAAGAAGCCAATTAGACAGTTCCATACTAAAAAAAGAACATTTATCAGGGTATAGTTTAATCCAAATCTAAGAGACCCACCAGCAATCCCTTAAAACATGAATCACAGATTCTGGGGCAGAATTACACCTAACACACACAAAGGAGAGTTAGTCATTTTGTAATTTTCCCTCATTAGTTAAAAGTCTACCATGAGCGACTTTCCAAAGGAAAACAGAGATACTTTGAGAGCCCTTCCAATTCCAAATTAAATCAAAAACCTTATTATTACTATTATTAACATTCAGATTGACTCTAGAGACAAGATCATAAGCTGATTTAATTGAAAACAATTCATTACTATTAAGTTTTCAAAAAACCTTGCCCTTATTATTAGATAAAACGGGCAGTTCAATAAGAGCAATAGAATTACAAATAGGACTAGGGAGAAATCGCTTAATTTTCACCCAATCCCAGTTACCCTGAATAGAATAAAGAGCCACATGATCCTCCAAATCTTTATCAAGAATGGGAAAATAAGAACAATCATAAAACTTAGGAAACTCAAGGATCCAAGCTATTGTGCCAGAACTTGACATTCATACAATTTCCTAAAATCCAATCAAGCCTAAGGAAAAAATAGTCCCAAACAATTATCATACCTTTCCATAAAGGCAAAACATTCTGGCTATTGGGAAATCTAGGGGATTTACCTAAAACAAAGTTGTATTTGTTGCATAGAACCTGAGATCAAAGATCATTAGGAGAAGTTATAAGCCTCTAATAGAGTTTCATTATGAAAGTTTTATTAAGTAAATAAATGTCTCTAAAACCCAAACTCCCTTCACTTTTAGGTTTGCAGACAGTCTTCCATTTAACTAAGTGGCATTTCCTCCCATTCAACGAACCCCAAATAAAGTTTTTATAGATTTTATCAATTTCTTTACACACAAATTTAGGAATAGAGACAATTTGCATAAAATAATTAGAAATACTCATTAAACAAAACTGAGTAAGGGTAACTCTGCCAACCATAAACAAAGAATTCATTTTCTAAATAGAGTTTCTTCGTAATTTTATTTATGATAAATTAAAAATCTGCAATAGTAGGGAGAAGGGGACTAATAGGAATACTAAGATACTTACCAAATTGAGCATAACTCCTAATACCTAGCCTCCTACTCAGGTCCATTTTTAGGCCAAAATTACAACAATTAGAAAAATAAACAAAAGACTTATCCTGATTCACAAAAAGACCTGAAGCAGAGTAGAAATTACTTAACACTTCAGAAATAATACTAGCATTAGCAGTATCAGCCTTAGCAATTAAAATTATATCATCAACAAAAAAAAGATGAAAAAAATAACGACCTTTATTACTAAAAGGAAAATGCACCCAGCTACCATCATTAACCCTATCCTGGATCATATGAACCAATCTCTCAACACACACAACAAAAAGATAAAGGGAAATGAGATCCCCTTGTCTAATTCCCCTCTAAGGCTTAAAATCTTCAGTGCAAACATTATTCCAACTAATAGACATAAAAGAGGTTGAGATACAGTAGGTTATAAGGGAAGATAATTTAGGGTTGAGGCCAATAACTTGCATCGTATCATTAATGAAACTCTACCTAAGACTATCATAGGCTTTTTCTATATCAATTTTAATAATCATATAATTATTTTTGTTCTTAAGCTTATGAAAAGAATGAACTAGTTCTTGCAAAATCAGGGTATTATCAATACCTTGCCTACTAGGGATGAAGCTAGTTTGGTTGGCTAAGATAATATGAAGAAGGATCCCCCTAATCCTATTAGCCAGGATTTTGGTTATAATTTTATAACTAACGTTACAAAGAAAAATAGATCTAAATTGTTTAATATATTCAGGAGTATCAACTTTAGAAATTAAGGAAAGGACAATATTATTAACCGCAATAATCTTATCAAGATTATTAAAAATATCAGAAATAAACTGAAACAAACAAGGAGCTAAAATGTCCCATTAAATTTTGTAAAAAATAGCATGTAGCTCATCTGGATTAGGAGATTTGAAGTTGCCTATACTGAACAAGATAGTCTTGATTTCTACTAAACTGAGATCAGAATCCATCAGAGAAACATCAATATTCTTAAATTCAGAAAATTTAGAGATAGTCAAGAAACAAATAATAAAATATAAATACTAGAATAATAAGTAATAGAGACAAGTGACTTATTAAAATATTACAAAAAAAAAAAATCCAATTAAATTTCTTAAGCAGTAAATAAAAAGAATAAAAACACTATCTCTTTTGGTTGATATTAAAAAAAATTGAATATATCATATCTTAAATAAAAAAATAAATTAATTAAAGAGAAAATTTAAAACATAACATCATATTTTTATTTTTAATTAAAATTAAATTTTTATTCAAGAAACTAGTGTTGTAGTTTAATGTCCATATCAATTGTGTGGGATATCAAAATAAAAATATCAAATTTGATATTGATTAAAAAAATATAAATATTTAATAAAAACTTAAAAACTAGTATTTAATTTATATTTTTCTCAAATACTATATTTTAATACATCATGTCATTTGTTTTTTCAGACCACACATTATTTCAGTTTAAATATATCTTTTATTTTCATATCAATAAAATATATAAGTTATTATAGTTTTAACAAATATTTATTTAAATTTTTTTAAAATATTAAATATTGACACCATATTAAAAAATTGAAAACTAAATTTGGATTAAATATTAATTTTTATTTTAAAATTTCCCTAATTTTTCATTAGTTTTAATAATATTATATCTTTAATATGATAAAGTATTCACTATTAATAATACAAATAATCTTTTTTATTTATAGAAAAATAAATATTAAAATTATCATACAATATATCTTTACTTTTTTTATTTTAAGATGATTTAATTTAATAATGCATAAAAAAACACGCTAATGTATTTTAAAAAATCGAACTTTTCGTTTAACGTTTTCTTTCGTTAAATTCTTAGTAGTTTTAACATTAGTTGGTATCATTTATCCAATTCTAAATATGTTATTTGGATATAAAATTTAATTTGCATACTCCAACTAATATGTGCAGTTTATATACCCATCCTTATATTATGGTGTGTGTTTAAAAATGAAAGTAAGATGTTAGACGATCAAATTAATAGTATTTGATAAAAATAGTTATTAAATTATCTAAAAAATACAAAATAATAAATAATATTATCATTAATTTTTAAGCTTAGAATTAAAAATTGTGAATATGTACTTTTAAAATATAAATTTTAAATTTTTTTTATTTAAAATATTTTTACTAAAAGAAAAAATAATATAAGTTAATGTATGTTATTATATCGATGATTTTGCAGTATAAAAGTTAATAATTCTGTTATATTCTAATAAATTTAATAACAAAAATAGTTAAGAGAAGTTGAACATGAAGAGATACCAGTAATCGAATTGAAAAAACTTGAAGGATCAAAAAAATATTTAAATAAAATATATATTTCACATCAATAGCTGAAAAGTAATGTTTTTAAAAAAATGATAGTAAATACTAATTTCAATTTTTTTTAGTAAACGCAATTTTGTTAAAAAAGAAATGAACTGGCTAAAATGTCTTCTCAAATACACTCTATAAATTTAAATATTAAAATCTGAATAATAATATTTTAAAAAATATCATGTTAAACTATGTGTGACTTTTTAATTCATTATTTATTTTTAAAATTTAAAATAATATTATTTAATTTTAAATAATTCAATTTTAAGATTAGTTTAATTTTCAAATTTTAAATGTTGATAGATTATTTTAAATTAAAAAACAAGTTAAAAGGAATTGAACACTATGATACTCTTAATAAATTTTAATTTGATTAAGATTTTTTTATTACAACATCCCATGTAAGTGGAGATTATATATTTTGATTCAAAAACTTGTTTGCCCACTACCTTCTTCAATTTTATAGCTATCATTTATTAACTTTCTTTTACTTATTAAAATGAAATATTTATTATTATTACCAGTAACATTTTAAATTTAATTTATTATTATACATAATTTTTTATACATCAATTTATACATTATATTTAAATTACTATATAATATATTTTTAAAATACTGATTAAATAATAAAAAGTGAAATGTTTTTTCAAAAAAACATGATAAATACATTTGTCCATACAATTTTCAATGTAATTCAACATAAATATCAAAATTATTATTATTTATTAAATAATCCCGTTACAAACCATTTGAAAATTTCCATGCAATATATACTTAATTAGTTATGAAGCTTAATTTTGATGTACCTTTTTTTGTAAAAATTTTTTATCAAATAAAAATTTATAATAAATAAATTTTAAAATAATTATTATAAAATTAATATTTCTTATTGGTATAATAATATATAATTACATGATCATATAAAAGAAATATTGATCACTGTTTTTTTACTGAGATATACATTTTAAATTGTTTATACACAATAAAAATAGACTATAATTTTTAATAAAAATTGTAGAACTCAATGTAATTTAATATATTAATATTATTAAATGATATAGTTTTCAATAAAAATATCATTTATTATATTTTTACCGTGTATAATTTTGTTCGGGTTTAAAAAGGAATATTTATAGAAAAATTGACAATTAATGGTGATTTGATTTTATAGAAAAACTGACATTGAATTTTTTAGGTTAGAATTCTTGACTTTCCCCTTGAACTTTACAATAACAAATTCTTATGGCAGGTAGAGAATTGTTTGGGATCAATGCTGAAGATTGATCCCCACACCTTGTTAGTAGCCAGGAGTAAATTTGCTAGGATCTGTATAGAAATAAACTTAAGGAAAAAGTTGATACCAACATTTAAGGTTCTTGGTCAAGAATTTAAAGTAGAGTATGAAGGGTTACACCTTATCTAATTCTACTGTGGTAAGTATGGTCATAGACAGGAGCAATGTAGTGAAAATCTTACTTCTACTAAAACAGTTTTAGAGATTGAGGGCCATATACTTAGTGACACAGGGAAAATTGATAGTCAAATAATGAGTAGTCCTAAAACTGGTAACGATATGATAATGCATGATAATGATAATGAATTTGAGAAAGCTAAGGAACAATTTGGTCCTTGGATGTTAGAAGAGAAATCGTTCAAGAAAAAATTAAATTATTCCCCTTCTACTGGATCTTCCATGAATCAGGCTAAGAAAAAATAGAGTCATTTAGGTTCTAGATTTGAAATTCTTGATAACTTAGATTAGAATGAAAACCTAGGCATGCCTATTACTAAAATAACTGACTCTATACATAAGAGTACAGGTTACTCTAAGAACCCTATGAATCACAAGCCAAGCTTTAAACTTTCTAATGGACCCAAGGTTGGTGATTTTGCTAAGAAATCTAATAAAAATAGTTTTGCTCTTAATATTGGCAAAGGGAGCAGTGAGAAAGATAATTCTTGCTCTCAGGATACTGTAGTTATCCCTCAGTCTGATCAAATAAACTTAAAAAATCTTAATAGTTATGAAGTTCAGGACACTCTTTTACTAATGAAACACTTTCAGAACATAATAAATAATGACCCGAATTTAGGACATTCTATCTAAGATCTGGTGGGTTTTAATTATGATTTTTTGGGTAGGAATCAAGGGCTTTTAGATCACAAACCTACTGACAGGCCACCTGATAAGCCTTTATTCATAGAGTTTGATAATTCAAAAAATAAATATCAGGAGTCAACTGATTCTGGTGTGGTACCTTCTGAAAATGTTAGTATAGATCAGCATCTTAAAGATGCTAATAATAATAATTACTAGTTTTATAAATTGTCTTTTTTGAAACTGTAGAGGGGCTGGGAGTAAAACCTTCCACAGAATGATAAATGATCTTATTAAACTTCACAATCTTGATTTTATTGCTATTTTTGAACCTAGAATAAGCTCTGTTAAAGCTGATAGGGTCATTACAAAAATTAATTTAGATGGGGAAGTGAGAGTGGATGTTGTGGGTTTCTCTAGGGGTATTCGGTGCTGCTGGAATACTAGTAGAGTGAAAGTTAAGGTTTTAGAGACAAATAAATATATTGTCCACCTTAATATTTGTATGAAAAATTGGGATTGGATTCTGTCTGCTCTGTATGCTAGCCCTCATGAGGGGATGAGAGCTGATAGTTGGAAATT